GGTTAGAAAGACCTTCGGGTTTTCTTATGAATAATATTAAATAACACTGAAATTTTGGGTTGTCGTTATGTAGCACTCGTTGGCTAGGGAACTTGTGTTCCTGGTGGAGGTTGGTACTGGAGTACGAAGGGTCCATCTGGTTCCTGGATCTCTCCCGCAATGCGGGCGCGCTTCCTGAAAATTGTCGGGTCTTGGTACCCTCGCTCCTACCACCATCAGATGATGAGGATTCTGGTCCATCCAACAGTCTGTCGACGGGTGATATTGGCCCGGCTTAGACGAGTAAGGCGTCTCGTTTCTCCTTGGTCCCCACGAAAAGGGCGGCGTGAACCTGACATAGACTAGCCGTTAGCTATATTTCTTTTTTGGGGATTTTATATTCATTTTACAAATAAGATTGAGATTTTGCGCGCTTATCCCTAAGTCCCGGGGAATGTTTTTGAGGTTGTCCTTCACTTTTCCTTCTTTTGATTTTTATAATTTTGAAGTTGTTTGTATTGGTCGGTACTTTCCGAAGAGCCATTGGATCTGAGTCGAGAACCCCAGCCCTGGCGTTTCAATCCCCCACCCAAAATCCTTGACCACGCCCCACCTACTCTGATCAACACTCCGACGGGTACGAAACAACGCACATGGTGTGAGGTTTGTGTATCACACTCCTTCCGTGGAACCTCCGTGGTGCGGATGTGTGCGGGCGCATAAATCTGGAACACATGCGTATTCACAGCTGCATGCTAAAAAAACCCTAAGACTGCCCAAGAAGGGTATACAACAAAGAGGCCGCTTCAAGAGGGAGCCAATCATTCCCCTTCAGTACCTGCCTGGTGACTGGATGCTTCATAGACCATGAATGAACATCCTGAGAGGGGCTACCCCTTTCCCAAAAACAAACCTGCATCAGTACCTTTCCCCGACCACATTTTTCGGGGGTTTGGGTAGGACCGGACTGGTTGGTTGCGCCATCCAAAAGCATAGGCCTCGATTCTGTTGGTTCTCGTACCACCACAAGACCGAAGGTGTCCCCACAAGACGTTAAAAAAAAAAAAAAAAAAAAAAAGCATAGGCTGGGCAGGGTAACTGGCGTTCGGGACAGGCCGAACGCCCGAACGTATGGGACCCCTTGGGGATGCGTTCGACCATTCGGGCCGAACGCGGACCCCAAAAAAAAATAAAAATAAAATAAAATCAAACAAATATGAAAAAAGATCTGTTATGAAGAAAAATAAATTAAGCACGATTTGCCTGAGCATTACATCCAAATTCCTTATCAAATTTGAAATAAAAATAAAATATGGAGAACAAATACTAATAATAAAAAAAAAAAAAAAAAAAGAATTAAATTTAGTGAGTGCACGCGCACGTTTTCGACACCGCGATCTTTGGCAATTTTTCATTTTTTTTGGCATAGCCAATGCCCTGAAAATTTACAGATGTGTACTTCACATAATAAAAAAACCACTAAAAAAGTTTCAAAAATATATATATATATATATATATATATATATATATATATATATATATATATATATACAGGTTCACCAGCCCGTACGTACGGAGGTTCCCGAGCAGACCTCCGTACGTACGGGCGTTCGGGGTCCCGTACGGGGTCCGGACCCGATGGCGTTCGGCCCCCGCCAAAAATTATTTCGGGGCCTAAAAGTTATTAGTGTTTTCTGATTTTTTTTTTGTGAGTTCTCTATGACGTGAGGTACATGCTTGTAAATTTTCAAGTCAGTTGGATAAGCCAAATAAGAATTAAAAATCGCCAAAGATGGCGGTGTCAAAACGTGCTGGCCTACGTATTTTTTCACTTTTTACTTTTTGTTTTTATTTTATTTCGGGGTCTAAAATATTTTATTATTTTTTAAAACTTTTTTAGTGGGTTTTGTATTATGTTTAGTAACCATCTGTAAATTTTCACGGCATTTAGCTATGCCAAAACAAAATGAAAAATCGCCAAAGATGGCGGTGTCGAAAACATGCTAGCGCACTCACTAAATTTAATTCTCTTTTTATTTTTATTATTAGTATTTATTTTCCGTATTTTATTTTTATTTCAAATTCGGTAAGGAATTCGGATGTAATGCTCAAGCAAATCTTGTTTAATTTATTTTTCTCCATAACATATCTTTGTTTCAGATTTTTTTGATGACGTTGTTTTTTTTGTTTTTTTGTTTTTTTTGGATCCGCGTTCGGCCTGAACGGCCGATGGCATCCCCAAGGGGTCCCATACATTCGGGCGTTCGGGTTCGGGCGTTCGGCCCATCCCGAACGCCGGTTACCGTGTATATATTTGGCTATGACAAAACTTTCTTTGTTTCGTGGATGTTTTGCTGGCTTGTGATGGGGTGTGAACCGACAGTATGTAGAGTTTTCCATCTGGTGTGGGTGAGTGATAGTCTACTTTGATTTTGGTTAAGGTAGATTATCATTTACAGTGTAATCA